ATATGAGGAGGGGGGAGGAGGGGGGAGGAGGAGGGGTGGTGGAGGGGTGGTGGAGGGGGTGGTTGAGGGGGGAGGAGGGGTGAATATTTGTAATAAAGAATTGAACTTTGTTATGTCATGTTGAGAAACATAAAAAAGCACAAACCGGGTACATGTATGTCTGTGTTTGTCGTTTATTTTGTATGTCTTATGTATACTTATCAGATTTCCATATTTAAAATGTGTTAAAATGTTCTTCTTTTTTTCAGGTATGGACAACATTCTACCTTCTACTTTTGTTCACTTCTATCTGGACCGTTGCGCTGGACAGTATCGAGGGATATCGCGTTGAACGCCCAGTGAACACATCTTTGTTGAAAGACAATTTACAGTTCAGCGATCACCAAATGCTCTACTTGCAGAAAGGTTCTCATCCGTTTTTAATCTACGCAGATAACGTCGTCACATCTTTATTTACGTTGGAATTATTGGTAAAAATTTGCGTGACACCAGATATGCGTGGATTCCTTAAAAACGTGTTCACAATTATTGATTTGCTGTGGGCAGTTCTCCACTGGTGCTGGTTTACCATGTATATGACAATCATCGACACGGTGGTAAATCTAGGCTCCGTGGTTCCAGTGTTTCTCTTGACCTTTTTGGGAATGATGTCACTAAGTCTGCGTGTGCTCCGATTGTCACGTATCGTCTGCTACTCTAGCGGCCTCCAGGTCATGATCTTGACGCTGAAGGCAAGTGGCAAAGAAATCGGACTCCTAATTCTGCTTCTTCTGATGGGGTCCATGGTATTTGGGCCGCTCATTTTCTATGCAGAAATGTCAGTTTCGTCGCCCAACATAGAAAATATTCCCGTTGGCTTCTGGTGGGCAGTAGTTACCATGACAACCGTTGGCTACGGTGATATGTATCCAAGCGCAGTAAGCGGATATGTGGTTGGTGGTGTGTGTGTGGTGCTGGGTATGGTCTTCACTGGGCTGCCTATTTCCGTTATAAGTGCCAATTTCACCAAATACCAGGCGTTTGCGAGGTCGATAAGGAGCCAGGAGAGGAAGGGGAAGACCGGTGAAACAGGAATGGAAGTCCGCTAGGAACTGTGGTCCGCTTCCCTTTACTTTGTACAGGTTCGTCCTATATACTAACCCCAATACTCCAACCAACCCTAACCTGTACTTATCATATTGGACCCCAGACTTCCATTTCTAGGACTCCCATTCCTGTCACAACAGCCAAAAATATGCACTTAACTCTTCCAATGTAATGGTCTAAGGCCAGGAAGCACCTGTATTTCAGTCGTTTCAATAGCCATCTCGACATTTTTACTACTTGTGGCGTTAATATAACAAGGAACCGTTATTATCGCCTTTACACCATATGAGCCATCTGTCGGCATTTGTTGTTTGATCTTCTAACACTATATGACATATTTTATCTTTAACGCAATTTTTATCTTACCTATTGATTAGGTCAAATCATAACGTAACGCCAGACTGGAGACCTGTGGAGACCTACATGTTACTGACTTTTACCTTGCAACAGACATTTATTCTAATATTTTAGCTTTTTATTGATTGATGTTTTGAAATCATTTTATTCTGTTACTCTTGTAAAGTCTACTGAACACTTTAATGTATTTAAGACTGTAATGATGCCGTTATCAATATGTTGTAGATGTACAGCAGCTGGATACCTGGGTTGTGCTTGTACATTATTAGATGCTTGGCGTGTGAAAAAATCACAGATACTGTTGATGTTCGTAGTAAATATGCCATTATATCAGCAGCTTGGTGATTTTCATTACAATAAGCTGGTTGGTTATCCATGCGATCAAAGTGCAGAGATAATGACCGCAAATGACTGGAATGTATCAGACTTATGTACTTGTTAGAAGCCGCTAAAGTGGAAAGATATTTAAAAAGGTCGTCCGTTTGCTGTACTATTTTTTAGGGAATTGTAAAAACGTCCAAAACAAAAAAGCTGAAAGCACAAGGCCCAGGTTCTGTTAGCCCACGTTGTAGATCGTTGAATAGCGTAATTTTCTGGTGATACTATAATCTAAATACCATGGTGTCACATTACTGAACACTGGGAGGAAGTCAACCATATTTGAAATAGGTCTTACTTTATTTTGCTGTTGTACGGAACACATGTCACACATGTGCAGTTCATTACTTAAATCTGGAGGGGAATTCACGCTTTATTTGTCATCAATATCCATGTCATGTTACCTTACCAGTAATTTTTAGAACTACAAATATCTATCCAAATATGCATTCAATATCCAAACTAAGTCATTGGCAGAGAAAACTGCTTTAGCTGCAATCCAAGCATTAAAATAAAATAAAATGTATGACAACTCTCTCCGTCGGTCAGTTAGCTTCCCATCATTTATGGATCCAAAGGGTTCGGACGAATGATAATAATACATTTTTTAATCTTTCCCCTGTGAGTAACCAACGAAGCCATGTTATTGATCTGCTTCATGTACGGATTGCGGCCCACAGCAACGACACAAATTTTAATTCCTGAAATGACATAGCAGTTTATGTACTAGAATAAAATAAGTAATGAGCGAAATTGAATTAAAATTAATGTACTTGCAGCCATTAAACTGAAGACCTCCGGTAGTTAATGGGATAACAGGTCACCTGACTTTGAGATACAAACCTTTCTTCTTCATCGCCTCTGCCGTATTCACCGGGTCCCCGTTACCAGGCTTACCAACCGTATGTTTCCCGTCAGTGAATATAAATACCAGGCGTTTACCATCGTCACGGAGTTCGGTGTCACACAACTCCAAAGCCTTCTTTGTATGCGTTAAGATACCTGTAAATACATGTATGATAAAGGCTACTAGAGTATAACACCCGTAAATATATATTTTCAATAAATCTTACTAGTTTTATAATGTTTTTGATAACCCAGTGAAATGCTCTTGCCCTCTTGTTAATTGTAACCTAATATGCAATTCACAGGTGGGTTCATTTGGCACAGGTGTGTCTTTTATTATGACTGTATTACCTAAGTGCTTAGTTACTAGTTTCGATTTTCAAAAACAAAACCTAGCGACTCTTTTTAAGAACGACTCTATTACAATCCGTCACGTTAGAGGGATACACTGTGTTTTAATAAGGAAACCCAGAAACTGGAAGCCCAACGACTCTCTGTTTCGCGGGATTCTGGGTCATGTTACACAGGCCTACACTGATGCTCATAAGTTAAGCAACGCCCCGATTTTTTCAAAAGTTTCTTCTATCATGATTATTATTTCATTTGTTGGTGGGATTATGCATATTTCTTTCATATTTTATAAATAACTCATTCAAGTTGTATATTTCGGTTAAAGAAATACACCACATAGCTTATTGTAATAATCAAAATAACTTAATTAACCAAACGGTACTAAAATATGCCAAACCATGTGTCAAAAAAGTATGCTCACACAGCAAAAAGTACGTGCTGATTACAACAGCTTATTATGAAAAAAATAAAGTTCAATCGTCTAAGAATTAGTTTTAATAAAAGAAGACTGTAGATAATAGATAATTCATGGTCTATTATGCAATAAATATCGGGTGTGTCTTCCCTGGTTTTGAACAACAGCTCCACATTGTCTTCTGCAACTTGCCACCAAATTCTGCCAATCTTGCTTTGGGAGCCGGTTCCATTCTTCATAACTGCCTGCTGGACCTCTCTTATGTTTCAAACTGGAGTTTGTCTCTCATTTACTGCCCTGTGCTGTTGCAGCGCGTCTTGCACGGACCGTGCTTTTTGGATGGGCGCATTGTCCTGCACCAAAATGATTTTTCTTCCTGGATTTGCTTGAATGTGTGATTGTATGCGCCCCAATGGGATTTCGTCTCTGTATTGTTGACCAGGGTACCACCCTTGAATGACGTACAGTGGCAATTTTTCATCATATGAGAAACCGTACCATACTATGACGGATACTCCGCCAGCCTGAACACGCATAAGAACGCAATCATCCTGAAACGCTTGGTTTGGACGTCTCCAGACGCCTAGCCGACCATCTGCATACATCAAAGTGAATCTGGTCTCCTCAGTCCACAGTACCTTTCGCCCAGTCCTGTGATTCCATCTTTCTCGGCATCTGGCTCATGTCAATCTTATTTGCTTGTGTCTGTTGGTCAACTGTGGCTTTTGACGAGGTCTTTTAGATGAAAGTTCAGCTTCTAAAAGATGCCTGTTGACTGTCTGATTCGAGCCCTTCCTAATCCAGGCCAGATGTTCCTCAGTTGTTTGGCCGATATGAACTGGTCCTGGTGGCATAATCGAACCAGATATCTTCATCTCTTGCGTCAGTTAAGATTGGTCTACCAATAGAGGCTTGTCCACTACATGATGAGTTTGGCGCCATTTTGCTACCAGCTTGGACACTTGACTTGGTGCTACTTTTTTGTTGCCTTGCAATCTGTCTCTTTGGCACCCCAGCACGATGGCTTCCCATTATTTACCATCTGATTACCTCGTTGAGTCCTCTTCTAACCATTGGTTGGTCCAAATTAACGAATTGTGCCCATGAAACTAGCCAAACTGGAAGCTCCTCATGGCATGACCAAACTGTGTTTTTCGCAAGTGGCACCCCCATTGCATATTCTACCGTGTCCAACAGTAAATAGTAATCTAATGTCACGGTCCAGTAAGTCAAAAAAAAAGAAAAAAAAAAAAAAACAAGAGAAATATCTAGCTACTGTACAAATTTTGCCTCAATAAAATTTTTGGTTGCTGAGAAATTCGAGAAATAAGAAAGTGTTGCTTAACTTATGAGCATCAGTGTATGTGGCCACCCTCCCCCAACCCCTTTCCCTGCAAAAACTATTTTTCCTGTTGCAGAATCAGTTATATAAACGACACTTCTTTTTGGTTTCGAAATCAAAAACTGGACCCTCACTCTAGCGCATCGGCATATTGATCAAGGCAGTAGGCTTGACAACATGTGTTGAAAGGCCCTCCTGTATTTTGTTGCTCGAGATTTAATTTGTGTTGGATGTTCTGCTGAATAAATGTTGTTATTATTATTATTATTTTCATGTTGTAAAATCCTAATAGCTCGCGGTAATTTGATTATTTAGAACCCGGGCACTTTCCAGTACATGACTCGTAAAGTCAAAGGGTAGTGGTGCATGGCCGCATTCAAAACAGATGATCCATGGACTAAATGGTCTGCAGATCAAATATGGCCCAGCCCACTTGAAAGGGATACCGTTAATCCCTTAATGGTCTCCATGTCTACCACATGCAACAGGCCTGCAGGGAGCTAGAGATTCAACGGTTTAAATCTCGGCACCGAGGTAATGTTGATGTGTCCCTGGAAGGCTGGCACGTGTGGTAGTCGAGGAGATCGTAAGGGGACTGGGTGAGTGCCATATTTGAACAGTGGACCAGTTAATCCGCGGATCAATTTGTTCTAAAGGGGCCTAATATACAGACTTATTATTTAATATAGAATATTTCGGATAAAAAGACATGCATAGGAAAAATGCTTTATTTAAAAAAACTGAATGGAGAAGTGCACAGTCAGGTGTGTCGCTACCAATTAACTGACTACCAATTAATGCTGCAGTGTGTAATATGCAGTGGTTTAATTGGGGAATGCTCCTCGGGGCAGGTCAAAGCTTGGTTCTGTCAAAGAAGTATCCATACGTCGGCAACTACTGCACAGAACGATTTGAAATTTTGCATGCAAGCGGTCGGTTTTGCAGTTCGTAAATATCACTATGTTACAAAACTGTATAACCTGTGCAAGAATGGCGCGAAAAAAAACAGGCATTGCCAGACAGATCATTGTGTCCACGCAACAGTCCGCACAAAGGCCACGCCCAGCGTATCGAAATCTTACCACCAGGGTACAAGACTCACCGTCCTTCCGGATAAGCCACTGCAACTAAACAAATACCACCCTTTCCGTTCAGAATGAGGTACAAATTGTCACAAGAACACGTTCTTCAAGTCCCTTGAGAACACCAGACCGGTTTTAACAGGTATGAATACCAGACGACTTTGGAGGAAGCCACTGTAAACAACAAAACATTGTGTATTTTGATTAAAAGGATCACAAATTGAGTATGCT